AGAGGTAGTAAGTAGTAAATGGAATAAGCAATGAGGGATTATGGAAATAAATGTTTTATTTTTATACACATTTCCTTGTCTGAACCACTGAGACATTAAACTTCCTAATAAATAAAGAATAAGAATCGAGAACAGGAATATTGCCAGTCTTGTATCAGTGCAATATTATTTTTAGCTGAATTACTGAAATTCCTGCGGAGCCAGTTAGGGTTTGACAAAATCGTTCGAGGTTTCTGTTTAATTTATCACAGGAGATATTTGAATTATTTGACCATTAAAATGCAGATTTTAAAGCCTAATATTTGGGATGATAAAATAAAGTAATTAAAGAGAGTTTGGAACGCTTGTTAGTTCATCAAACTTATTGATCTAACCACATCTTGTTTACCACTGAATACATACATATAGATATAAAAGTAAGTTTATTATAGAATAAATCAGGTACTATAAATTTTTAAAAACTAATTTCTTTTCGGTTAAGTCAAAAAACTAAAAAGAAATTGGGCATTTGTTTAATTTATGACACAATTTGTCTGCACAACTCATTAAATCAGACAAGGCGAATTACAGGTGCGGTTATAAAAATATGAGTTTAATTGGGGTCGAGCAAATAAAAATTAACATTTCAAAGGTGTATGAAATTGTAACGATTTATTACCAATTTTTAATGGGCCCTCAATTAAAATTATACCAATAGAAAATAAGGAATCACCAAAATTATGGATATTTCCACTATTTTCGGCTTCTCTGTTCAAGATAAAGATATTCGTCTAACATTTTGGTTCTATTTAAACAATTTTTGGCTACAATAATTTTGTTTAGCGATTTTTTTAACAAAATACGTTTATTTTGTACTCAATGTTAAAGAGTGCTTTTATCAAATAATTTCAGTAGATAAAGTGGTCTTTTATCGTCTAGTGAAATAAAGTAATTTTTATCTACTGTTTATATTCAAGAAATTCTGGTAGGTGAGTACAAAAAAAAAAAAAAATTATACACGACTATAAAGATTGTTTCTCTACTCGTGAAAAAAGTCCACTCGTGATTTCGTCACTCGTAAACTTAACCTTTCCACTCGTAGATAAACTATTTCTTTATCGTGTTGGATAATAAATAACTATTTTACATTTTATGAAAAAGGTGATAAAAATTCGAAAAAAACGACAACAAATTGAAGTTTGAAATAAACGTATTAACCTTATACTTACCTTTATATAGTTATATACAAAATAAGTAAACAAGACTTGGGAATAACTATTATTAGACGAATATGTCTCCAAAGTCGTGAAACTTATTTTTAACTTAACAGTATTAAATATGAGTCAAATGTGTCTCAACTTGCTGACATTTAGTTGTGTAAAATTTTATCGGGAAAAAATATTTATTGAAGAAATATGTCAGTCATTAATTTTCCAATTATTTTAATTCGCCAGACAGAATAATCCAATATAATTATTATAAATGTTATTAATTAGGACTTGATTGGGTTGATTAATTTATGCACTTTGAATTGGATCACTGATTAATCGAAATGAAACAACAAACTTTAAAACTCAGATTTTAATCAAGACGAAAGCTTTTTTCACAAAATACCTCCCTTAAAATACTTACTTGACTCGAATTTATTAGTGCATAAATTAATTAATCTAGCAGACGTAAACTATCACCCAATGCTTGATTTATATGAAATTTAACATTTTGATTGGTAGTAAATTATGATAAAAACATAAACTAAACGCACACATGTCCACTTCTAAATCACACGATCCACATAAAACCAAAAAGGCACTCGAATCACATTTGAGGGGTGGTAAAACGGCATCCGTTGTTGCCAAGGAGATGCAGATTTAGCACCGGACACCACAAGAGTGATAACAGCACATAGTCGTAGGCCGGTTAGAGAGATATAAACTGCCACTATCTCTGGTTGAAACTTACAACGAGGACAGCTGAGCATCTGCTGTATGGTATGCCCCCCAGTCGGCGGAGGCTTTCTTTGTCCTCTCCACTGAGCCCGGATCGACCCACTCACTAAACACGGCTGTTTATTATTAGGGGAACTACGGATGTGGGCGAGGGGAGCACAGAGAGCTTACGAGCAGGGGGAGACGAAAGCTCACGTTTCTGACTGGAGAGTTTGGATGGTTGGTTTCTTTGTTGCCGAGTTATTATTTGACGATCAGTTTTGGATTGCAATTAAGAATTCGCTGAAATGCTAGGAGTGAAATATTTCTGTGGTGGGTGTTATCTACGAGATCTGCATGTTTGAATGTGGATGAGATTTGGCATTAGGGGAGAGTGGAGCAGCATGACGGCGACGGAATTTAACACGAAATGATACAAAGTTCGTGAATAATGGAAAATATGGCAGAGTTTCACCACATTTTTTGATAATTAATCCATTTCTGTTCGTAAAAACATGGACTTAAATATTTAATATTTCAGAGAGCAAAGCCGCAAGCAGATATTAATAATAATTAGTTTCTATGTATCAGGTTTTGTCTCTTTGTTGAAAATTGTTTGAAAAAGTATATAGGTAAGTAAATCAGAATATGAGTTTGGGGACGAGTTTTTTTTAAGTTAAATTTAATCGGATATCAAAGTTGGACAATGCATTTTTCACTTTAATTAAAAATTTCGCACAACTTTTAAAATTCTAAACTTGAGTAAAGTTTGACAGTTGAGAGGGTTTTTTGTAATTTTAAGGAAGTTACGTGAGTCTGCTTGCTCAAAGATAATTAGTGAAAGTGACTCTAAGCTGGAAAATACGAATTTTACATATTTATGGCGAATTAAAAATAATCTGTAATGCTTTACAGAGGAAGCATGCTAATGGACAAAAATTTTAATCGTGTTAACCATAGCTTGTTCTGACATTAAAAATAAGCTATATAGAGTTATGAAAAGTGTCTGTATAGGTACTTTGGATTAGATTATTAGATTTAAAACTTTTCCGCACGCTTATTTCGAAAAATTCAAAATTATTGGTAAAAAACTAAATTTGTTTGTTTTAACATGTCAAAATTTAAATTTGCATACCAATAAACTTAAATGCAAAGTAATATTTTTTAACCAGAACCGGACTACCTCTAAAAAAAATCAATAATTTATTAACTTTGAAGTTAATAGTGCAGAAACTGATAAGTAAGAAAAACATCTGCTTCAAACAAGTGAACGCAGTGAAAAAAAAGATTTAACTAATTCCTTAAAGATTTAGGTGGGTAGGTATTATGAAATATTAAGAAATAAAAATAAAATATAAATGTATCAAAGTATAAAAAAGTTATAATCATTTGAAGATTAGGTAGGGACACAGTTTGATCACTTAAATTAAATTAAAAAATTGTACCTACCAGGTGAATAAAAAGTATGGAACCAAACGTTTTTTACCTAAACTATTCATTTTTTGAAAAAACTAATTAATGTATCATAAAGTACTATAAAAATGGAATGTTTTATCAAGAATAATTTTTTTCGAAATGTTTTTTTGTTTTTGAGTTTTGCAAAAGTTTGTTTTTTTTAAATGGCAAAGCACTACAAAACCATTTTTTTTATAAAAGCTATGATCTAAAGATTACAGCTATCTACGATACTTTAATTCAATTTTTAGCAAAAAAAATTTTTCACTTAAGTTACCATTTTGACAAAAAAATCACATAACTCAAAAACTAAAACATTCTCAAAACACAATCACGTTTTTTGTAGCATTTTAATTTTTATTAATTATTATTTGTGTAGAACAAAATCCTGCTTCAGAGCATGCAAAAATTTACTTTTCCATTATTAATATTAAAAACGCTAGAAACATTTTACAAGATAAAGTATGGTTTTTCAAATGTTTTGCAGAGGAAAAAATTTGGTTCTGCGTAAAACATTGCATTGCTTAAATTAAGATTTCTTTAGGCGAATTTGGCCAGGATCGATTAAAAAAATACTTTGTGTTCCGGCCATGACTTCACCGCGATACACAGAATGTCTCAAAACGTGGGCAACATTTTTTGATACGTTACTATATTACAGTGAGCGACAAAATTATGGAATAAACTTATTAAAACTGAAAAAACTTTGTTTTGGCAAAAATGCTTCAACAGTAAAATATACTCAATTTTCAGCTTGATTTAAAATTTTACACCTTCTGGTTTTTGAGGAATGACGTTATCGATTTTTTTTTAATGGAAACCCATAATTTTGTTTAGCCAATTCGATAGGTCTTTCAATTGTCGAAATGACAACATCAAAATATTAAATATTATATAAAGTTTTCGAAAAAAAATCAAACAAAACATGAAATAGATGATATCAACAAAAACATACAATTTTAAATCAAGTTGAGAATTTATTTTTTAAAAAGAAAATTGACCTGTTCGAGCATTTTTGTCAAAACATTATTTTCAGTTTTAATAAATAAGATGATTCCATAATTTTATTGCCACTCACTGTATGTAGAAAGTACCGAGTATGAAGAAAATGTTAAAAACATTTTAGCTGGAATAATTTTCTAAGTAATTATGGCGGTTTAAAGTTTGCTTATGTTTATTTATCACATAATACTAGAAAAGTAAACAAAAACTATTCTAATTTGCAACTATAGATTTGTAGCTTTTATGTTTAATGTTTTCGTGCCTTTTTATTCGAAAAAACATGTTGCAACATCCTTGTTTGCAATAAATAGAAATAATTAGTCAAGTATCAAAAATATTTATTCTAACATTTCTCCCATGCTGCTTGTGCTTACTATAAAAATGTGTTAATAAAGCTGTTCTGCGAATGTTGTGGTAACCTGTATAACTATCAAATAACTGACTGTAATAATTTAAAATATCCACTTATTTGCAATTAATTTTTTTAGTAAAAAATATATCTACCTATATAAATGCTGAGTGAAACTCAAGTGTAATCATAAAATTGCTGTTATTTTTTTACAATTGCAAAACAACGCAACGTGTAGATTGATTTATGTGGCTACTTTTTAGCAGCAAAAATACGACATGTGATGCTATAAACAGTCTTTATTCATTTGTATTATCCTGACAGAAATACAATTCTTCAAAACATACATGTAGAAAAAAGTAAATTGTACTTGTAACACTACACGTGTATGACATTGCAGCAAAAACGTGTAGAACCTCTGGAGAAGATGGATTATAACGAACCGAATGAAAAACTGAAATGTATCTTGTGATAATGATCAGGTATTTTCAATCAGTTCCTTGAAAAATATCAAAACCACTATCAAGTCTTCACATCTTTCTGTAACGCTAACTGCTCCAAATTAGCGGTTCAACTGTTGAATTCCAGTAGTCACACAATCAACAAAACAAGTGTCGGCCGGGTCAGAGTCCGGGCATTCCGATTTGAGATCAATTTCCGTGTTAGTGTGTGAACGAAATCTCCGCGAATCACCGGTAACTAAAAAGCACTGTCTATTCAAATTACCCAATTCTGCTTCAAATAAAGTATCGTTAATTATCTTTTCGGCGTAAATCCGTTGAGTCTTCTCCAATTTCCGCAGTTTGTTGGCGTAAATCTTCCCCAACAAATCAAACTCGTCCTCATCGAGTCTCTCCGTGAAAGACTCGGCCGGTTCATCCCTTTTCCGTTTCTTCTGAGCGGATGTATTGGACGGAGTGAACATTGCCGGCGAACTTCTCCCAGACTCACTCAATGATTCGCTTTGAGAAGTAAGCGGATCGCATTGTCCTCCAAAAAACTACACAAAGTTTTACTATTATTATCGAAAATCCGATACTTACGTCGTTAGTGACATCCTCGTCGAGGTAAAAATACGAATCGCTGCTTAAAAGCGAGTCTTCATTAATGAACGAAAGCAAGTCGAAATACCACAGTTTGGGTTTGTACACTTCCTCTCCGGTCGCGCCGGCTTTCAAAGACCTTTGAACTTTTTTAAATTCCTTCCGATAGCAAGTTCGCAACGAATTGATTTTTTTCACAACCGTGTCTTTATCGCAGTCCGGCTCGACTTCTCGACACTTGTTTATAAGGACTTCGTAAGCTGCCGCTTTCTTTTCCCGGTTTCTGTAGTCTTTGTTTTTTATCTGCCAGAGAGCTGGATGCGACTTGTACAAGTCTATGAATTCTTTCAGGAAAACTTTGGTGTATTGTCGCAAATCAGTCATTTTTCTTTTGTACCCACACACCTGCTTTTATACACGATCTACGAACATGACTGAACGCGACCTTGATCGACTACTTGCTTGTACAGGGAAATTTGCGCATGCACACTAACTGGCATTTCAAACTCTTACGCGATCCAATGTTGGTTCGAAGGCTTGTTTTCGAACACGGTCGTGTCGCATACAAATGAATCAACACTTTTGTTTCCTATCCATTTTTTTTTATTAACAATAGAGAGGGATTATAATTCTACGACAGCTTGACTTGACCTAACGATAATGATTCAAGTGTTTTTTCTCGGTTATTGCTGCCTTTTTTTTAAAAACAATCCTCTAATCTGGATGATGACTTATATTTAGTCACTATATTATTATAGTTAAATTGTTTGAAATAAGTAAATAGGAGTCTCATTATTCCAGGACCGTATTCTTTTTTTTTCAAACATGTAATTTTTCACATTTATATTTGCCTTGCTAAATAGGTACTTACTGTTTTACATACTGTTTTTAGATTTCAGTTGCGCTGCTTCCAAATTATTGATACTTTTTTGCAAAATTTTGGAAATACATAGGTACACTCTTCCACTTATTATTTTTTATTCTTCTAATGAAATTCTTAATAATTAAAGATAAAAATTCTGCAGTGTTCCGCCACCTATACTAGCATTAACAATTAACAATTCTTTATTTGTAAAAATTGAAGTAGATAGATTTTTAAATAACATTACACCCACATTCAAAAAGTTATACAGTATGGGCATATAAGTAGTATATTAAAAAATAATGAGAATAAATAGTGGAGATATATATAATAATAGGTAGGTATAAATATAAATAATACAAAAAAACCAAATTGTAATAAAGTACAAAAAAATACATACTATCTATATAGGGTGCTTAAAAAACAAGGTACACAGTAAAAAATCCAGTGTTAAATATCCAGTGTTAAATTAAATATGCAACTGTTTTCTAAACACTGAACTCCGTATTGTGGTGGAAAATTAAAAAGTGTTTTAAATATTAACTCAAAAAAGTGTTGCTTTAGAGTTAATTGTAACTTAACATAGAGTAATTTAATGTTGAATCTAGAGTCAGTATATCTCTAAATAGCGTTGATTTTTAATCTATTTAGAGTTAGTTTTTATCTGAACTACATGGGAATTTTAGGTACACAAAATGCTATAAATCTAATAAAACATGTATTTAATTAGTAGGTACATATTATTACTATAAAATAAAAAGTAAATTAACTATAAAACATAACAAACCAGATGTACTTTGGAACAAAGATAAAAGAATAGGTTTTTGGTGCACTCATGAAGTTCTGTATATTAAAATAACCTACTTATTGTTACAAGATGAAAAATAAATTTTAAAAAGGTCATTCTTTCATCATGTGCGGCATTCTTTCAATATAGGATTGGCAACAGTATAGTGTTCTACATTTCGGCATATTCCGCAGCATATTCTTTAGTAAAAATGTTTGTAGTCAGGCTTAAGATCGTCTAATAGTCATGATCAATCTGCAACGATCATAAATACAAATCTCGTTCTTATTTTTAAGGAAAATGTGTTCAATTTAAAAGTATACCTACCTACCTTTTAAGTTTTTCAATACGCTAGAAGAGAAGAGACACAAGAGACTTATTATGATGAGACACTAGTTTGGAATGAACAACAGCGCAAACGCAATGTTTGTTTTATAAATTTCAACATTAAAGAAAATTACAATAGACTTCTAGAGTTCAAAATACACGAAAATTTCTCCCGCTTAAATTTTAGGTACTAATTTTGGAACAACTGCTGCAACTCAAAATCGTGTTAACTGCTGTACACCAACACTTTCGAGTTACAATGTATTTTTTGAATATAGTCAACACTTCTGAGTTAATTTAACTCTATTATACAGGGTGTGCCGTTTTTATTGTTAGAAATTTAAACAGGTGATAGAATATTCAATTTTAAGACAAAAGTTTCATATGAACATGTATCACAAAATGTTATGTAAGCAAGCTGCACCCCCTGAAAAAGATGCGTTTTTTAATGGGGTTTTTCCACTATTGCAGAATAAATAAAATTACAATAGTTGGTAGGTTGGTACAGCTTCCTTTAAACACCTGAATGAATTCAAAGATCAGTTGTCGAAATTTTTAATCACGGGTCTTAAACGGTAAAACGAATTTAATTTTTAATTTTTATCCTCATTATGGTCTGTAAGACAAATTATTGTAAATTTTTTTTTTATTCAAAAACGGTAAGTTGTATCGAAAAAACGCAAGACGCCACTGAGTAAAATTGCAACATTTTATCTTTGAATTCGTTTGGGTATAAACGTTATCAGTTGTACCAAATTTTCTGATTATCTACAATGATTTTTCAAATATTGGAAAAAATCCATTAAAAGATGCACCCCTTTTAGGGGATGTAGCTCCCTCTATATAATATTTTTCGATACATTTTTATATAAGAAACATTTATCTTTTAAAATTGAATATTCTATCATCTATTTAAATTTGTAACAATAAAAATGGAACACCATGTATGTATACCTATTAGAGTTAACTTAAGTGTGAAAAATACACTGCAAATTTTACACTATTTACTTAACACTAGCGGATTAAACGTATGAAGAATGCACTAAATAATAATTTAATTGTCTTTGGTATACAAAGCTCTAAGCTCTAAGCTCTAATTATTATTAGAGCTTTGTATACCAAAGACAATTAAAAATTATATCAAACAATAGAGTAAAGTCCTTTCTACCAACGTGTAACATTTTACTTTTCTATTGTTAATAATAAAGATGAAGCGAATTTAAGCCAAAGCACGTACTTTCAACATTTTACAACGGCGCAACCGATTTAGCAAGGCAAATACGCCGCAATAATGACTCACCCTGTATAATAACCTACGACAGATGGAAAAATTGTAATTTTATTAAGCTTTAGACATTTTTTGTGATAGAATTCTCTGAAATAATGATAACATTTTACGTAATAAAACAAAATTGTATGTCAATTCGAAACTTTGGACGAGTAAATAGTAATTTAGGTTGTTTATGAGAAAACTTTGTTAATTCGGAAAGAAAGACAGTTCCATTGAGACTGCCATCAACCATATTGATTGTCATTCCCGCCACTTCTGTTGGCATCATTTTGGACATTACAACAAAAGACACGTCTTCCCTCGCTTACGGAAATGCCAAGACCAGAGCTTAGCAGCGTCGTTGCTATCCGAAATTTCACAAACTAACGAAATAACAGATAATCCCAAGGGTTTGGAGGAACATCTGGAAACTTTTTACTTTCATTCGTATTAAACGCAAAGGTTTGGAAGCATTTAAAAAGCTGTAATTAATCGCACGCCTGATTTATTCTTCATCCAAAGGGGAATTTTAAACAGGGTTTGAAAAAATTTGCTGCTTCATTAGCTGGTGAGCATAGTGTTTCAGTGAAAACAAATCAATATAGTGAAGCGGAATGCATGTAAGGGCTTTGGCAAGAGACTACGATGATTAATGACGTTTCTAATATCTCTATCTGGGAGTAAAGCTGAAACAGTGACTTCCGTGAAACCTTGGAATCGTTTATCTTCAAAGACACAATCAGTCACCACGTTCAAAAATCTCGGCGGATTTAGAGAACATAAAATAGATTACATCGGGTAGAAGCAGATAAAAGTAGCGTTTAGGGAAGTCTAAGATCATTTCGTATTTTTCACAAGGATGATGAACTTTCAGTGGCAATAATACAATTGGAAAAAACACTGATCCTTGAACTTTTTCTCTTTGAAAAAAATGGTATCTGTAGCAACTGAATCCACCCGGGGCCAGGAAAAGGAAAAACATTGCCATTAAAGTCATTATAAAAGGACCCTCACTGCGGCATGTAGACCTAAAATAAAAGTAACGAACCATAGAAAGAAATTACAGTATGACGACTGCAACTTCACATTGCAGAAACTCATTTACTCCACTAATTATCGCTCCCTTTCTGTGTTATTTTGTTTTGTTTTTTCAATACAGAATCCTAAACAGAAATCAATATTCCCTTGTAACGTATTTTGGATTAATATGATAACGATCTGACATAACCACATGCGGCTTGTTACACGAGATTAATGACTGGATCACTAAATAATACGTGCCAACGACATAATGCACGATCTGTGTTTCACAATTGGAGTTTTGGACAAAAAGGATGTTTTTTCCTATTTTATCGCGATTTCTGTTCCACTGGCTTTCCTTAGAATTCATTTTTCACAGAGAAAAATCAGCGGCTTGTGGCTCCACGGAATACATTTAGCTAATTTAAAAGTGCTTTTTATTGTGGGGTAAATCCGGGACAGAAGTTTATACCTATAAAAAAATCAAATAATTTTTTTTAGAACCAGGTCCAATTTCGGAGACTTTTACTCATTAAATGGTTTGTTTTTCTATTTATTTCGATTAAATCAAAGACCAATTAAACAATTCTCCTCGTTTGTTACGTAGAAAGGTAGAACTTCTGTGGTCTGTATTTTGCTTCTTCCCACTATGAGAGAATGAAACTCCCTGCAATATTCCATTGCGGCAAATAGAATATAATGAAAGAGGAGTGAAAACCGCAGCGGGAGCACAATGAATTTGTAACATTTCAATATTTTTTCCCTAAAATGTTTGTATTTGGGGCAAATATTTAATAGGCGTCTTATTTTATTTTTATTTTTGTTTTATTCCAATTCCTGCGCGATACATAATAATAAAATAGCTATTTTCCCCCATTTTCCGACCTTCTAACTACTTATTTGCTCTAAAAACTTTCGTTTATGACGTCGAGGCATGCACAACGAGTTACACCTCTCGGAACGTACTCAAGCCATGTGACGCTTTCGTGGTGATACAAAGTGGAGGAGCATAAGCGTAATCGATCAGCTGACTGGGGCCACTGACCTAGTACCGGTTGCCTCCGAGTAACTCCGAACCGACACCGGAGTTACCGCCCCGAACAAACCTCCTAAGTTATTTCGTTTTCATATTTCGCCTTTCAACTGTGTTTATTCCTTTTTCAACAAATTCTCAACTTTTGGACAGATGTCAACCTGTCAAGAGTTCTCCGAAGGTGTTTATAATGACGGCTTGGTAATCCTTTTGATGTTCGAAATAGGTTCTCGGCAAGTCGGCAACTCTGGTGGCTAGTGGAAATTTGGTGAAGCGATGGATGGATGTTTGATGTGGTTTCAGTTTAGGAACACGATTTTAACATAAAAGAAAAAACTAATGTACTCAGCTTAGGTGCAGTTAACGCAGAGAGAACTTAAAAAATGTATAATACAAGTTTTGCGAAAGTGTTGTTTTAAATTGTTCTTATTCCAATGTAAATTAAATAAAATATTAATACATAGCTACTCAGGGTTTCATACCTTATACATACCTTATTTCCGTGTTTTCTTGCTTTTTTTTTTAAATCTGAGACGAAGAATGCCAGAAAAGAACTTTTTTCAGTACGTCAGCAATCTAACATAAAAGAAGTAGAAAGTTTTTAGATTTTGCCCACTAACAGATGAGTATAGGTTATAACTTTATTTAAGCCTATTTTCCATTTGCAAAACTGTGAAATTTTCATCATTTTAGTAAGTAATTTTGTCACTACAAAACGATCGTGCAAAAGACCAATTTTTCTGCCATTTCTTTCTATTTATATTTAAACCTCCTTCTTCGAAATATCGCAGATATGCAATTTGTGAGTTGTAATACTTCAATTAACAAATCTTGTAATAACAATCAATAAACAATTCTGAAAAGAACCTGTGTGGTTTGTCCTCTAAAATTACGTTTATCAACTTTTATCGAGATTGTAATTTTCATGCCGTTAGATTATTGTAAATTTGATGTTTATGATCCACTAGAGCAAAACTGTTCACAAAATTGTAGTTCGTTGCAGCTTTTTAAAAACTTTTAAAGTGAAATATGTAGTTAGATATACTCAAAACATCACTTACTCAAAATGTTGATAAAATCTGTATCTGGTGTTAGCTAATAAAAGTCAGATTTATCATTTTCATCATTTGAGTATCTGATTTATATTTATTATTAAATTAGAAAATTTAACAAAAATAAACATTTTAGACCAACATCCTTTGAAATTAAAAAAAATATTTGCCAATTTTTTCAATACGACAAATAATAGACGTTTATCGTTCAATTTATGTTGTAAATTCAGTTATGTATTAAGTTAGGTATTCAGACCAACTAATAATTTTCACACAGAAAGTCAGATATATTTCTTTATTAAATTTACGTCGTCTTAATATTTTTTTGATTCATCGTTCAAATAAGCGATAACTTATAGAATTATTCCAGTAATTACAATGATTACAAACTCACACAAAAATATTTAATTCTTATTTTAAATAGACCGAAGTTTATCTTGGATCTTTTAATAAGTGATTTAAAAATTGAGTCCTTTCTTTTTTACGAGTATTTGTTCTTTTTATTGAAAATTTCAATTTTGCTTTCTTTTAGAATAAATGAGGAGCAGGATTTCAAAAAGCAGTTTGTCCAAACTTGCATTTTTTCAGGAGAGAACAAAAATTGTCCTTTTAAAAAATAATTTTAATGTTTTATATCAGTGACAATAAATGTGAAAAAAATTGTACATATTGGACACAGTTGGACACTACGAGTAATTTTACGGCTGGAGTACTTCGGGCCAGTTTCATAATCGAATTTAAATCAGCATTAAGTTAAATGTTGTTTAGAATGTGCTGATTATTACGTACTAGTTGAGAAAAATTACACCTTCTAAACCAACATTAACTTTAAAATCCCTTTAATTTGATTATGACACTGGTTCTTAGGCAGACATGGACAAACTGCATTTTGAAAGTTTGTTCCTCAAATAATAATGTGACTTTCTTCATAATTAAAAAAATTCATAAATAAAATTTTAAGATTTACGAACTTTCCTTCGATTTAAAACATGCGGCGAAACGAGACGTTATAAATTGTCATGTTTTGTCCATGGAAAGCTTTGAACCTTTTGTCTGAAGATTAATTTCTTCAACAAACGACCCAAAAATGACTAAAAAAAATTCATCATACCTATTTGGAAGTTTGAAACATTATCTATAATCTAGCAATTTCATAATTTAATGCAAATGGAGACGTATGCACATATTGGTAACGGATGGTACCACCGGTACGTCATCCATCAATTTCCATCGGTTTATGTCTCGCCTGCGTCATCTACCACCCATCGATGAGGGAACTCAAATCCGTGCCGAATCCTAAACCCTTTCTATTCTATTTCCAAATATTCCAGCCGTACATAGCATACACCTGGCTCTCATACAACAAAGAATCTCTCTATATGTCATTCAACTGTACGTCACGTTATCGTGGCCGTGCCACGTTCGTAGGGACTTTGTAATATAAATTGGATATTGATTTTCGCTCCATCGAATTCATAGATTCGACGTCTGTGCCCAGCAATTAATTTTTCACATCGCTGTTCTGGAACCCGAATCACTTAGGTGCGAAACAATCAAACCGGATTTTCGGTGATAAATCTAGGAAAAAGTGCGTTCCGGACGACCGTAAACACCCGAAATGCCCTAAGAGAAAAAGTTTGAATTCGAAAAGTTTTATCGAGGGTCAAGAAAGAGAGGGAAATGCTGTTGTAAAAGCTTCTCTCCTTTGTGCTGTTAACAAAATGAAGCCTGCATAGTCGGCCATTTTTAATGATCGATGCTTAGAGAGCATGACAAGGGTTCTGGAAATGATTAGTATGTGCAACCCACCCTAAACTAATTCATCGTGTGTTTCCCCCCTACTTGTACCTCCTTTCAAACGAATTTCACTTCTATGGATTCTGTTTTTTCAAGTCATCTGCCACACAACAGTTTATTTTTCCGACGTGGAATGCAATACGAGATGCGGTTCTGAAAGAGAGAAAGGAGGTCTTTGAAGCCATATGTCATTCTGAAACGTCTAGTCATCATGGCTTGCGACTACCTGGGGCCTTTATTGTTTACACCGACCAAAGGCCTTCTGACCATTATGACGTGCTGCACAGGCAAATTAGAAACGCCGAGATGACTTACTTATACTCACTTAACGACCTCAAATGGACAATGGACACATTTCAAAAATAAATTAATTATGGATCCACAAAGCACCAAATCATGTGCAAAGAAAAAATAAATAAATTGAATCAAACAAAACCACAAACAACAAGGCCACAATCACCATTTTAAAAAAACGTATACTTTTTTCTGAAATAATACATACATAATATAGTAGGTATATTTCATGTTTATTTCTAAAAAGAAACAAAAGTATTTTTTTTTATTTGATGTTGAATGAAATAATGTTTTATAATCGAAACATACTTATACTTTAAGCATTCGGTAATAGAATCTGATTTAAGATGTAAAATTGTTCAAATAGTAACAAAAAACCTTTCACAACAAATATTTTAAGAAGAAGAAAATGAATTTTTTGCAATTAACTACAAATCATCACTTTCTTCTTTTGACACACAAAGAAAGAAAATAAGAAGGAGTTTTTGCTCAAGGAATATATGTATAATTTTCTATTGCCTTTACTTACCTCGTTTTTTTTTGAACAACTATTCTCTATTTGGTGAAATCTCTGCAGAATTCGACAACGGTACCCTGTAACAAAACAATTATTTAGGTAGGTATTAGAAAAATAGAAAGTTTAAATGTTTGTAAACGATTTCTCAAAAAATCTTTTTACGCAGACAAAACCTCACAATAGGTATATATGAAATTACTTCTAGTTTTAATTTTTGATCCAAACATTTTAATAATTAAAGAATCTAATATACGAATATTACCAATGAGTTGAATATGTAATCTTTGCATTCGTGCAAGAAAATTTGATTGCCTAAATGGTTTTTTCCACACACGAACAATAAATATTTTAGAACACTACCTAGTCTTCAGTTTATGTTTAAAAAAGCACAATTAGCAATGCAGTATTAATGGTTCCATTTTCTTTTCAAAGCTAATTACCAACTTTAATAATTTAATAAACTTTTGCAAGTGATCTAAAGTAGAACCGTAATAACACTAATAACACATAATTTGCTACTCGAGACTCCACCTATATTGCCGCAGTATTTCTCATAATAAAGATAAAACGAAATAATAAAATGTGTGTCTCGTTCGTGAAAATTACGAAAATGCAATAAGGCCGTCTCGTACGCCATCAAAAGGGTAAACCTGCCCTTGGGAAATATGTCATATGTTGGGCTGGCTGTTCTAGCCTCTGGTATTGACATGCAAGCTTCTAGAAACGAAGAGATGCGATAATATCGCAACGAGTCAGAGCAAGATGCAGCTACACCTTCTGAAAGTAATGCGAGATTTATATTCTCTCTGTAATTTCGGGCCTGTTTTGGTTTTCTTAATATTCGGCAAGGTAGCCGTTGCGTTATTCTATATTTAATTAGGTATGTAAATTTTCTCCATTCAAACCACGTATTTGATGAGCGAACGCAACCTGAATTATTAATCATCGAAGGAAAAATGATGAAAAATACATTTCCCTGCGCATTTGTCGTCAGTCTATAGATCCAATTATTTCTACAATACGAGGAGAACAATCCGCGAAAAATTAGGTTGGCGCTTCTACCATCCATCTTCTTTTTTGTGTAAAACAATTTCGGCATTTCCTGTTCATGTTACACGGGAGGGGTAAAAAAATCTTTCGTTAATAATGGCCGCTATTAAAATGCCCCATTCCCATCCTCGATAAATCACTTTATGCAACGCGAGACCGTTACGCAGGAGTTCATGAACTTTTCTCTGCATTTTCTCGACAAGTGATTAAACGTAATGCTCTAAAATTTTCTTTGTTGCAGGAACGTCAACCTTGTCGCTCTACCTGAGGCACTATTTACCACCGTTCCCGGTAAAGCAGGTAAGCTTTTGGTAAAGTAAAACAACTTTTGCACTCTGTTGCTAACAATAGAAATCTCATTCTCAGCCAATTACAATAGAGAATTTTAATAATATAGACACAATTGATGTCCCAGATACCACGAATTACAGCAGACACCAATCAAAATGCATCGTCTATATTATGCATATAATTACAATTACCGTCTACCTATATAATTGGTCGGGAATGAAGTTTTGGTTTAAAAGTTTCGACCAATAGTGAACATGTAAGTGAAACGTTCTCGTTCTGGATTTTATCATTTTGTAAACAAGTATGAAAATTGGAAAAGCAAATATTTGTACGTGTGGGTTAGTTTAACGTTGTAATGCTGCTTCTAAATGGTTTTAGAAACAAAGGCATACACGATAATTGCAATTAATTTCGTATATCTATATTTCCACCGACAATATTAAAATGTATCAGATTTGACTAAATGAAGTGGGTTTCCGGTTTAATTTCAGAACTGTCACCGTGTAATATTATATTTGATGCTTGAACCAAATTGATTTTTGGCCGCAGCGTGAGTATTAAAGTTTAATTTAAAAAAGTTTCACGATAAAATTCGAGTGATTATACATTTTCCCGCTTTCTAAAAATTGATTGTGTGAAAGAGGTAATTATCTTTTTCGGAGGTAATTTACGAGAAAATCTGCAGTAATTCCAATTCAAAGCTGTGAAACATGTGCGCCCCACTTTTGATTTAACTATACTGATGACAATAATTTATAGCTGTCGGAATTAATAACGTAAGATTCAGGGTGATGAACATGAAAGCCTTATTCAAAAGCAAATTTGCAAAAATAGTCATTTGAAGATGAAGTTTAGAAAACGAACGGAACGCGAGCATCGTAATCATCTGAATAATAGCTATTTTGGCTAGATTTGTGGTGTTGAAGACGTTAGTATTTGAAAGTTGTTTCCAATGATTTAAAAAAGCAGTGATTAATGGGCATGCATCAGTAGGTATATAGTTGAAGTAACACAAGTACAGGTAAAACGAATAATAACTTAATAAGACAGTCGTGGACATTTTTTTAGTATTCTTTAAAAAAAAGGAGGTCCAGTTCTCAACTCATCCTGGTTATATTTTTTTCACACGAAATAGCTTATGAAACAATTCAAAATAAAAAAAATTGATCCTCTAATGTGATACCAATATTAGTTGTTTTTTTTTTTATTTTATTATCTCTTGATCACGAAAAATGAAGTAAATTATAGGAACGAAGTTCAAAATTTAATGATGATTTCCAGAGATGTATTTTTTGTAAAAGTTCTATAGAAAACCACAGAAATTTCCGATGTATCGTAACTATAAAAATAGAAATCAAAAACAACTCTTATTTCTTTGTGTTATTTTCCTATGGTACCTACATACAAGGTGAACAAAAAATATAGAACTCTTTATGGAGCTTTTCTTTTAAATCATTTGCTTTCAGCAAATAATGATTAATAAAAATTAAAGAGCTATAAAAAATGTGATCGTGTTTTGAGGATGAAATTTCGTGATATTTTTTTCAAAATATTTGAAAACTATTTTCTACAAAATTAAATGAAATGTAGATAGTTTGTTGTAATCCTAAGATCATATAGCTGTTGTAAAAAAAAGGTTTTATAGCAGGTTGCCATTTAAAAATAATTAAAAATTTTGAAAAGTAATTAAAAGGTTATTCCTGAAATTACTATTAATCACGATTTTATCATAGGTACTTGTATGTACTTAATAATGAATTTTTTTTTCCGTGTACATAGTTTATGCCAAAAACGCTTGGTTCCATATTTGTTGTTCATCATGTAAAGTATCATTCCCTGGCTAAAAGGATTGCTGATGAATGCATTTTTACGAAAAACAACGCATCAAAAACGTTTAGTACAAAAATTCGATGAAAATATACGTGATGCATTAGGCATGAGAAAGTAATCTAAAATACATGTACACCGTACAAGTAGGTAGGTATATCTTTTCTCTGAAGTTTTCATTATTCTTCATTTTTTCATGGGGCTGGTTACAAACATTAAGTACTAACAGTGTTGTCAAATTATAGTCTTAATGTAAACATGAGATGAAGACATAATCCTATTGCTATCCTGTATCAATGAACATGAGCATTTAAATGAATTTCAGTCTAATTCTATCTACCATGAATATAATACTAGAAATAAAGACTCACTCATAGTTCCTCACCATCGCCTGAAAAGAACCCAACAAGGTATCGATTTTTGGGGATCCAAATTGTATAATAAATTAAATGAAGAAATCAAGAACTTAAATATAATTCAGTTTAAGAAAAATGTAAAGACAATGTTGATCAACAAAATTTTCTATTCTGTGGAGGAATATATGGAATATACCGGGTGGGGCATCGGTTACGCGCACTTGATAAATCGCGACTTATTCAAATTAATTAAAACTGGCGATATTTCATATACCTAACTAATTACTGATAGGGTATAATTTGAGAATTTTTCTAATTTTTTTGGATAATAAATGAGTCCCGTAATATATAGTTTTGTGTGTTTTATGAATACTTTCTGTTAATTTACCTATAAAGTTTTTACACTAAATGAATCTGTACCTGTCAGCGCATCAAACTTTGATATCACAATTTCAAAATTTGACTTGGTTAGCCAAATAAACGCTTTTTTTATTTAAACACAAACCAGACCCGTGATTTATGACAAAATGGTATAATTTGCCAATAAAAGAATCATTTACTAGTAGCCGACCGATTTAAATGGTCATTTTTGCTGTAAACCTTGGAATCTTACCCTAATTGCAGTTCCCCATTGTCACCTAAATTTACGATGGCACAAGTAGCAGGTCATAAATAAAAATGATTTTCAAAGTTAAGATGGAAATTTGCGTTTAATTCAAAATCTAATTGGTATTTTTTTTCTGATTTTGTAAACAATTGTAGGAAGTGAATCTGCCTAGGTCAGTATAAAAACTAGAATTAAATATTTTGGGGGAAAATTACTTTTTATTTTCTTTTTGGCTTTGTTTGTGAATGAAAACTTAAAAAACAAAAAAATTAGAAAATGTACCTTACTAATGCCCAGATAAGTGTGAAAAAATTCAACAATTTTATTTAATTAGAAGTGTGGATTTTCTTTTTGGGCGTAACGGATGCCCCACCCGGTATGTTATAGTGTGGTTTTCTTGTCTTGTTTTTGACCCTATTCTGTAATTTTGATTACGAATAACGAGATTTACCTATTTATTTATCTATCTATCTGTTTATAAGTATCTACATATCTACGTAGGTACCTATTGGTTTTTATTCTTACAAATATTTTTCCTGTTTTGTGGTTCCTATTCTGAGGTTTATGGACGCTAGGGTACTATTGAAACGAGAAATCTGGCAACACTAGACCCACTGGACTAAACTGTCAATTGTTATTGTTCAAGTGTTCTAATCTCCAAAAAATAATTTTGCTCAAATTTTGTCCAAATTTCCGCACCTCGGCATTAAAGTCATTTTTCATTACTCATGTGTTTTATAGACTTTGTTTCATAAATATACTTATTACCACTTTGGGACTCCCTCCACTACCACCTATAGTGTAGTTTTTATGTTTCATTTCATTACTTTAATAGTACAACTACAAAAAATTAATATTCCAGTTTATTTTACCAACAAAAAATATAAGATGCATCGAGAACATCTAAAAATTAGAAAACAAGCCAGAGGTCCATATAATATGTTCC